TGCTGTGGGACAGGGGTCCATGTTGCCTGGCTCTGGCTGCTTCTCTTTGGGGCTGCAGACCAAGCATGGAGGAGGGGGTTGCGGCTCCTCTCCCTCTCTGGTTCTTGGTCCTAATGTCACACACGTGGATCATGTCTCTGCCGTATTGGGCAAGTCCCTTTTCTTCCTTTCTATAAACTTCATTGTACTTTTAAAAGATGTTCTTAAGGTCTGTTCTGTTCATTATTTGGTCTCCTTGCAGTACACAGATGGATTTGAAGATGTACGCCATTTGCAGAGGAGAAGCGATGAGCTGTGGGTTTGAGCTCCCTGCTGAGCCACTCAGCTAAGTCCCTCCCTCCAGTCCCCGGTACCACAGGAGGGGAGCAGGCTCATTGGAGGCTCCTCGTGTCTGTCGAAGGCAACTTGCTTGTCCCCCAAGAGTTGCAGCAGTAGAAACTGCTGCTGGGAGAGCCCGAGGCCGGGAGACGTGGCGACGCTGCCCTGGTGCTCTCCCTGCACCGTCTGGGCCACTGTTCTCTGTGTCTCTGCTCTCCCTGTTGAGTGTGTGGTCTCAGTGAGGTCTCGGTGCTCCAGTTCCCACGCAGCACCACAGCTTGCCGTAACCTGGACCAGTGGCCCAGGAGCCATCCCGTTACCTTGAAAGTTCGGTGTCCGGACACAGCAGGACCGAGCTCATCCCATTTTGCTCTCTTCCCATGAATCCTGGGCTGCCTGCCCCAAGCTCCTGCCAGACAGTCCTGGGTGCGCTAGGAAGAGTGCCGGCTCCTGTAGGGTCTGTGCCCTGGAAGCCTGCTGCGAGAGCCAGCTGGGCCATGCTCTCAGTGTCACTCAGCTGTTCCTATCAGTTATTAAAATAAAAATCCCATTAGCTTTTTAGATTATGAGATATTAGTCACATAAATAATAGAGGAATTCCTTCCTGGCCGTGGGCAGTTAACTTGCAGAGGAAGTATTTAATTTCAAGAAAACCAATAAAAGAAAAATTTTGTTTTAAGGAATTTCCATTTTTCCCTCCTGGCCACTGTTTTTTCTCTTGTTCTTTTTTTATTTTCTATTTCTCTTCCAATTGTAACTGGTTTTCAGACACCCCAGCAAATGTCTCCTTCTCTTGTGCCACCTGTCGGTCACAGTTCCATGTTGCTTTCAGAAGTCCCATGAGCTCCAGTCTGCAGCTCTCAGCTCCTGCTCTCTCCTGCAATGTCCCGTCTCTGCTGGTTGCTCTGGACAACCTGTTGCAGGTGCCGGGGGAGCTGCTGCACTGGATCCAGCCCTGCCCGACGCAGCTGGGATGACACAGGCTTCAGACGTCACCTCTTGGGTGCCAGGCCCCTTCACAACCCTGTATGTAGGCTCTGTCCCCTGTGCTCGGGGCAATGTCACAGCCCTCCAGCTAGTCCTGCTCCTTTGGGAGAGCTGCTCCCCTCAGCTGCCGTCCCTTCAGCCTACTCCTTGCTTCCTTGCCTCCTTGCCTGTGCTCCCAGGAGGAGAAACAAATCCGGTGCGGGCAGCAAGGAGCCGTGCAGCACTCACTGCCGGGCGAGGAGGTGCAGGCATGAGGCAGATCAGGGGAACGATTGCAGCTGCCCACGACACATCTTGGAGTGTGCCCTCCGGCCTCCCAGAGCTCCAGGTCCCAGACGGTGTATGCAAGGGACCCCAGCATGTTTCTGCACCCTGCTACCCTTCCTGGTCTTGGTGCTCTGTTTATCACGTGGCCCAGAAAGCATCCAGAAAGCTTTGTTACCTGCTTTTGATGAGGAGGCTGCACATTCCTGGCCCAACCATGGATGTAAACCCTGTTGGTCTGGTGGGAAATCAGAGCTGATGAACATCAGCAGATAACAAAGCCTTTGTACTGGAGTCTCCTGCTCGCCAGGTGTGTGCGGTTGGGTTTATTCCCTCTCCCTTCATGCAGCCTCCTGGTGCCAGGAGACAGCAAACAACCTCCATGTGGCAGGCCCAGAGCCTGCAGGCTCCCACGTGTTCCTGGCTGCCATCACCACCAATATCTGCTGATATGGCATCATTTTCTTGAGGTGAAGCCAGAAATGTGCTTTCCCGTCATGGACACTCAGAGCGCCCATGTGTGTGGAGCCCCAGCACAGGAGCTCCAGGTGGTTTCTCATTTCTGCATCTCAGGGCAAGAGAATCATGGACTCACAGGATGGTTTGGGCTGGAAGGGACCTTCGAAGATCATCCAGTCCAACCCCCCTGCCAGGGGCAGGGACATCTGCCACTAGATCAGGTTGCCCAAAGCCCCGTCCAGCCTGACCTTGAACACTTCCAGGGATGGAGCATCCACAGCTTCTCTGGGCAACCTGTGCCAGTGTCTCACCACCCTCATGGTACAACATTTCTTCCTTATGTCCAGGCTAACCCCACCCTCGTTCAGTTTAAAACCATTGTCTTGTGCTGGGGACCCCAGAGCTGGACGCAGTGCTCCAGGGGGGTTTCAGGAGAGCGGAGCAGAGGCTGCACAACCCCAACTCTCCCAGCCTTTCTCCATAGCAGAGGTGTCCCAGCCCTCGGACCATTTTGGTGGCCTCCTCTGGACCCGCTGTACCAGGTCCATGTCTGTCTTGTGGTGGGGACCCCAGAGCTGGACGCAGTGCTCCAGGGGGGGTCTCAGGAGAGCGGAGCAGAGGAGGAGCATCCCCTCCCTCGACCTGCTGGCCACGCTGTTGGTGATGCAGGCCAGGAGATGCTTGGCTTTCTGGGCTGCAAGCGCACATTGCCAGCTCATGTCCCATTTGTCACCCACCAGTATCCCCCAGTCCTTCTCCGCAGGGCTGCTCTCCATCCATCCATCCATCCATCCATCCATCCATCCATCCCCCAGTCTGTGCTGGTACTGAAGATTGCCCCAACCCAGGTGCAGGACCTTGCAAAGAAAGAAACGTGTAATGAAGTGTGGAGGTGTCCTTGTTGCAGGAACTCCCCAGGCAGGGGAGTATGCACCGGGCCTGTGGCGTGGCGGCCAGGTATGGCTGGGTGGTCAGGGCTCTCCGTGATGCTCCCTGGAGCAGACACACTTGTGGTGAAGCTCTGGACTGGGTTCAAGGTTTCAGGCACCTCCCTGGTCTGAGCCCCTGGTGTGGCACTGCTGGAAGCAGGGAACACTGTCCTGTGGGCTGTCCCTGCGCTCTGCCACATCTCCTCCAATCCCCCCAGTCAGAGGTGCCCTGGACTCATCCTGGAGGATGTTATTGTCCCTTTCGGTACCACTGACAGAGCCTGCGGGCAGTGAGTCGCGGCGGAGCACTGTACCAGACCCCAGCCCTTCCCTGCCTGCCCTTCTGCTGGCTTTGGGTTCATCAGGCTTGGTAAAATTGCTGCATTAGCTGCTCCTGCCCGTGTGCCCCTGTTTGCTCCTGATCACACCGGTGGGATGTTTCCTGCCCTCTCTGCAGGTGTGACCTGCTCCCACGCCCCCTCCCCGCTCCCACTGGTCAGCCCCAGCAAAAGCCTGCCTGGCGCCGTCGTCTCTGTTTAGCACTGTAATTTCACAGGTCCTACCTGGCTGTTGGCCTGAAGAACACGCTGCAATTAATGGTGGAAGATCAGTATAACCCACAGAGTGATTAATATCTCTCTCCTCTGTAGCAGTGTGGAGTATGTCAATGGGGAGGGGAAGGCAACCATGCACGATGGGTGAATTGCTCCCAAAGGAGCTGTGGGGCTGAAGGTACCACCCTGAGGCCAAGGAGGAGGGCTGTGTTGCAGGGGGAAGGCCGGAGCCTGGTTTCTGTTATGCAGCTGCAGTGCTAAAACTCAGGCAGCCCAGCGCCTGCAGCAGTGCCTGCCAGGCCAGTGAGCCCTGATGAGCCCAGTGTCCTCGTGGCCTTGAACTGTCCCAGGATGGAGTCCTGCCCCGCAGGAATGGGCAGCTTGACCAGGAGGGACAGACGGGCTTTCCTGGGTGGGCTGGGCCAAGCTGGCAGCTTGACCCCCTTAAAAAGAGGGGTTACAGGGCTGGCACAGAGCGGGGCTGCGGGATGGCATCACCTTGAACTGCCCGGTGCGCTCTCGGGGCTGGAAGATTTGCCCCACTCTGCTCTCAGGAGATGCCATGGAGCCAGCAGAGCCAGTAGGACTGCGGGACCCGTGGCTGGGACAGGGGGCTCACAGCTGACCCGTGTTTTGTCACTTGCAGCTGGCAGGACCACCACCAGTGAGGAGCTGGAGGACATGCTGGAGAGCGGCAACCCGGCCATCTTCTCCTCTGGGGTAAGAACCGCATGTCAGCCCTGGTCCAAGCCCGGCACAGGCAAAAGTCAAGCCAGCCCCCTCATCCTGGGGGGGTTGGCTGGTGGATGTGTTGCCACGGTGGCCCCAGTGCAGGAGTGATGAGCACAGCCCATGCAGGAGGTGGGACCTGGGTGCTCAGGTCTGGCCTGAGGATGCTGCCTGAGCAGGGGCTGTGTCCTGGCTGGAGGGTGGGGGTTTGCTGCAAACTGCCTGGCTGGGGTGGCAGAGGGCTGCTCTTCCCGCTTTGGTGCCCCTAATCCCGGCATCTGAGGAGCTGAGCACGGTGCTCAGTGGCCCTGTCTTCTTGCAGATCATTATGGATTCAAACATCACCAAGCAGGCACTGAACGAGATTGAGACACGGCACAGCGAGATCATCAAACTGGAGAACAGCATCCGAGAGCTGCATGACATGTTTATGGACATGGCCATGCTGGTGGAGAGCCAGGTAGGGAGACGCCGCGGCCCAGTGGCCAGCTCACCTGGGGAGGTTGGAGGGGGACGGGGGTGCCGGTGGACCCCTGGTGGGTGCTGAGGGGACAAACTGCATCTGGGACTGACGCGGCTCCCACTGGGGCTGAGCTGGGCTCCCCATGGCCAGAGGCACCCACCCACCCAGCAGAGCCGGGGGCTGCTGCATGCCTGGGGCGGGAGGTGCAGTGATGGGCTCTGGAGGAGGGCATCGGGTGGCTGCCACGCAGGTGATGTCTCCATCTACCCTGGAGCACTGGGCCCTGCTGGGTGAGCTTGGGGTACTGCCAGCCTTGGTGGTCCTGCCAGGCTGCCCCTGGCTGTGCCGCTAGCCCACGACATCTGGCCCTTCGGCCGGGCGTGTGCTCCGGTGTCTCTGCTCACCCCTCTTCTTGCCCGCCATGCTGCCATGGCCCGAGGAGACGTCAGTGGCAGGTAAAGCCCCGCCGAGCCCTTGCCGGTGCTGCATGCTCCGCTCTGCATGGCTGCGCCCTGCATGTCTGTGGCTCTTGTGTGGTGCCAGGGCCTGCCCGTGGCAGGTGGGCGAGGGTGGCCGTCCTGTCTGCCTTGGGGACAGATGTGGGGGATTCGCAGAGCCCTGGCCCCACTCTAAGGGCTAGCCTGTGCCAGCACCCTGTGTTGCCCTGCGGGGTGGGAGGCTCCAAGCTGCTCGCACGAGGAGCAGCAGTGCTGGCAGCTGCCTGCTCTGCCCCAGGCATGGCACAGGTGGGAAGGAGAAGCAGCAGCTTTAGGCAATGCAGCCAGGCTGGCATGTCATGGACATGCGACAGGGGCAGCAGGGAGCCTGGTGGGGGTCAGTGCTTGTGGGGAGTAACACCAGAGCACCTCTGGGCTTGCAAGGCTCATCCTCCCCATGCTCTCCAGTGCTAGACTGAGAAATGAACATTGCAGAGCTGCTGGCCGTGACTCCCCTATTCCCTGAGTCCCTCCGTGCCATGCAGGAGGGCACTGAGCTTTGAGCCCCCCCAACCCCTGCCGACCCTGTCGGTCACATGAACTCTCAGACTGTCTCCAGCTGCTGCAGGACCTGGCTGCTTCCCTGTGCAGTCAGGAGGGGGCCAAAGGAGATGGGCAGGCTGGTGGGGGAGCTTGTCCCAGTCCGTGTCCCCATGTCCGCAGGAGTCCACATCCCCAGCCCACCCCTGCAGCCCCAGGGGCAGAGCGGGGCAGGAGTCCCTGCAGTGCCCGGTGGTCCGGCCTCGCCAGCCTCGCTCCAGGGCCCTCCACTCTTGGCATGGCGCTCGTGTGGATCAGAGCGGTCATCCCTGCATGTGCGTGGCTTTGTGAGCATCCCACGTGGTGCTGCTGGTGCTGTCCTTGCTCCCCCGCCACGCCTCTGGTTTCAGCAGCGTGCAGCGCGGTGTCAGTGTAGATCCTGTTGTGGCTTTGATGTCACCTGAGATATCAGACAGGGCGGCCACTAGGCCAGGACCGGGCTGGGGAACCCCCTTGACCCTCACCCTTGCTTGCCTCCCTGCTGGGATGTGCACAGAGGTCCCAGCCCTCTGGGACAGAGCCCATGGCCCAGACCCCTCACTCCAGGGTACCCCAGGGCACCCACTGCCTGCAGGTAACTGATGGTCCCTCTCTCTCCCGTGCAGGGCTGGTGGGCAGGGTGACATCCGCGTGGTGCCGGGGAGCAGCAGAGCAGGAAGGAGCTCACGTCTGCATGCGCGCGGGCGCGTGGGCTCTGTCCCCGCTCTGCAGGGTGAGATGATTGATCGCATCGAGTACAATGTGGAACACTCGGTGGACTACGTGGAGCGGGCTGTGTCTGACACCAAAAAAGCGGTGAAGTACCAGAGCAAAGCCAGAAGGGTGAGTCATAGCACTGGCTGG